AAAAAAAAAAAACAAGGATGGTGTTACTGAGAGCTGGTGAAGCTTTCAAAGAGGTCTCCAAGTCATGGGAGGTAAATTTGCAAAGGGGATTTGTGACCAGTCTCTTCCTCTTTGCTGCTTGGCTCACTGGGTGAGGGATTTGCTCACCACAGACACCTGCCAAGCTGTGCTGCCTTGCCAGAGTCCCAAAAGCATCAGAGCCACTTCGTCATGAATTGAACCTCCAAAATCAGCTTTTTCCCTGTTATAAGGTAATGGCCTCAGCTGTTTGTTCTAGGTGAAAAGGTGAAGTGTGCAAACCCCTTGTTTGCATTTTCATTAGGGTGAATGACAACCTTCAGATAGGTCATTTTCTCTTGAACTACAAGGGGTATTTCACATTTTTATACAGTTAAATACTAATTTCACATCTATCCCCATTTTGAAATTTGGAAATTTAAAAGATAATGAAGCCATTAAAATAAAAATACCTATACATTAATAACCTGAGATCTATATTTAAAAGTTCTTTTTAAAGTCATACTTACTCAAAGTTGAAATAATCATCTACTCCCTCGTAATTGACATTTGAATAAAAAGTCATTGTCTGAAAAAGAAAATTAAAGTTTATGAAAAGCAGAAAAATTGGGCATGGGGGACCCAACTTTAGTGCTATTTGTCTTTCCACATCCAGGTACATAAAATAACTTCATTCAGTATTTAACAATGTTGATCATTGTAAATCAGATTTTCCTAGGACACAATATATACTTTCAAGACATTTAAATCTTTAAGTAAAAAAATTATATTCTTAATTTTTTCAAATTTCTTTTATATTTCACAAAAATAATTATATCTACATAATTTTGTGACTTTTTTCTTTTCCCTTTTAATTTTATATCATCCTAGTCTTTTTATTTATATTTCTCTTATCCCACTCATTTAACTGTATAACTGAAATATTCTTTTTTATTTTCAGTTATCTCCTGAGCCTAGAAAACTTTAACTTTCTTCTCTTTTCCATTATCCTTGCCTCTGAACCTTTTAAAATTTCTTGCTTGATTACAGTTATCACATTGTCTGTAAACTTGAGACTATGTGGAATTAATTGTCTGAACTTTTCCACTGTTGCTTTGAGTAACTGTAAAAAATACTCATCCACATTTTGCTTAAGTCCTTGCTATTTTCTTCTTCTGAGACATGTTTTACTTCAGCATCCCATAAGGTTGCTGTCAGCCATTTATAGAACATACCTGATAGTAGAGGCAGAAAATTATAAGCTCCATGTTTTCAAAGTATACCAACTACAATATTTATGGCCCTATATTGCTATTTGTTAGTTGTGTGTTTGTGTGTATATTTATAGCCTTTAGAGAGGGATCTCTTAAACTTGGTTTAGCTAATCCATTTGGATTAGAGCAAACTATGTTCCTATAAAAATAGTGATAAAAACTTATGAGATAAAGTGCTGGATGCTAAGTAGTATAACACAAAATATACAATCTGTTTTGACAAAGTTGAAGGCTGTGAAGTTCATTAAATTAAAAATAAATGTAGCAGGGAAGAGATTTACTCCTGTATTTTATTGTATGTCATCCTTTTCTTTAGGTGTAATGATAAAAATAGCTTTATGAGAATGCTGTTGTTTATAGCTAGGCTCTAAAAGTTTTATATTACCTTGTGAAAACAATAACCATGTCTCCAAGCTTTGATCATTGTTGCCACTTAAGTGGTATTTAGACTTGAGTCTTCAATTCAACCTACATATATGTATATTATTTTAGATTATAAACACTGAAAATAGATACATTACAAAAGTATTTAATGTGCTTTATTTTTCAATTATTTATTTATTTTTGGTTGTTTTGTTTTGTTTTTAGACAGGGTCTCACTACATAGCCCAGACTGGTCTTGAATTGAACAGCAGTCCTCCTGCTTCAGCTTCCTGAATGCTGGGATTAGAGGTGTGTGCCACCACACCCAGCTTTTAATGTGCTTTAATAAAATAATCTACCTAGAGTTTTATATCCAGAAAATATTTCTCAAGCATGAAGATTTTAAAAATAAAGTTCAGGTGGCGATTTAGCTCAGTGACACTGGTGCCTGCCTAGCAAGCACAAGGTCCTGAGTTCGATCCCTGGTATGGGGGCGGGGGTGGTGGTGGTGGTGAAATAAAGATATTTTAAATCAAACAAATATTGAGTATTTAATCATCTTTCACTAAAAGATGTGTTAAAGGATGTACCTAAAGCAGAAGGAAAAAAATACAGTATGAAGACACTCAGATTAAAAAAATAATATAAAAATAGGGTAAATACACATTGCTATATAAAAATGTAATAACATCACCTACTAGTGTAAAAACAAGATGAAATCAAAATCTATGGCTACAATAGCATATGAATTGGAAAAGGAATAAAATATTTAATTAAATTTAGACTTGTATAAGTTAAATATTCATGAAGTAGTACCTAAAGAAATCTGACTTAAAATAGAATATACAACTGCTAAACCAATAGAAGGAGAGAAAATATAAAAAAGTATGCATAAAGATTGAAAAATTAGAGGGACAAATAAAAGATATCCTCCAAATACACCATTAATTGCATTAAATGCAAATAGATTATATGCTCTGATTAAAAGCCAAAGGTGGGGGGGGACCAAAAAACCAAACCAAAAGCAAAACAAAATTCAAAAATACCTGTAATTAGTGCACATAGGAAACACATTTAAAACATAAGGCAATTGAAAGGTAAAAATTAAAAGATGGAAATGCTGGAAAAAAGAAAAAGGAAGTTGATATAATTACATTAAATATGGAACAAAACAGACAATTGTGAAAGTCTGAATGTTTTCTCTCTGATTGATAAGAAGGCATTTATGTAAAAGTGGAGGAATTTACCACAAACGACCTGAAATAACTGAGTTTAGCAAAGATGCAGGATATATCATATATATAATATACACATCATATAAATCATATATACATCATGTATAACATATGATGTATATAGCATATCATATACACGGTGCGTGTCATATACATGTCATATATCACATACATATCATATATACCACATGTATAATTTATATTATGTATATCATAGTACTGGAATAAAAATAGATGCATTAACCCAAGGAACAGGATAGAAAGCCCATGCATTTACAATCAATTGTCAAAGGTACTGTATTTAGAACACACAAGGGGGAAAGGACAGTCTCTTCAATAAGTGATGTTGGGAAAACTGGATATCCACATACATAAATAAGTATGAAATTATGCCCCTATATAAAAATCAAACTCAAAATGAACTAAAGACTTACATGTAGAACCTGAAACTATAAAACTACTAGAAGAAAACATTGGTCTGGGCTATAATTTCTTCAATAAAATGAAAGCACAAGCAATAAAAGCAAAATTAGACAATAGGACTGCATGAAACTAAAGAAAGAAACCCTGCAAAGCAAAGGAAACAAGAGTGAAGAGACAACCCATATATTACGAAAAAATATTTGCCAACCATAAATCTCATAAATGACTAATACCCAGAATATAAAACTAACTCAAACAATTCAGGAGCATTAAAATAATGCACAATAATGGCACAGATGGCAGGTGATGTGAAAGGTAGCCAGTGAGGAGTGCTTTCAGTCAGGTGGTGGGAAACACCTGTTGCTAAGTGACAGGGAGCATACTCTACTAGAAGAAACCCTTATACATTAGTGATGGGAGTTTTACATGGTATAATCACTTTGGAAAAGTGTCCAGCAGTTTCTTTTAGTTTTTCCCTCCTCTATGCTCCAGCAATTGCACTATGGTGCTATTCAAAAGAAATGGAAATATATGTTCATGAAAAGGCTTGTGAAAGACCATTCATCGCATCTCTTTTCATACTAACTCCAAAAAGCAAGGAACCAGATATCCAGCCAAAGGAAAATGGACAAGTAAACTGTGGTATATTCACAAAATAAACTATCCAACAATTAAAAGGGATGAATTACTGATACTGCAATATGGGTGAATCTCAAAAATATGCTGAACGTAAAGTGTTTCATTGTACAATTCTATTTCCATGGAGTTCTAGCAAAAGCAAAACTAATCTGTGGTGGAAAAAATCAGCAGACCTGTTTCTAGGAAGTGAGGACAGAGAATGACTGGGAAGGGGTCTGAAAAAGTTTATGGATTGATAATGTTCTCCTTTTTAAAAAATATTATTTTATTGGTACATTTTAGGTGTACAATATAATGACATTCATCTTTGGAAATGTGCACCTTTACATAATCTCTCTTGGTTCTTATTTTTCCCCCTTCCCCTCCCCTCCCTTCAACCCCTCCATCCCTCCCTATTTACAGAGACTTTGTTTCCATTTTTCCATTTTCTCACATTAATTCCATTCCCTTC